ACCTTAAAAAACCATCTTCCACTGATATCACAGTGAACATACATCAGGCTGTAAAAATATTTTTACTCTGCAAAATCCTAATTATCACAAAGTTCTATATTGACTTGTAATATTCCAAAAAGCAGCTACACACTTATGTTTTTGTCACATGCCTCAACTGACAAGACGTCATATCACTTACAAATACCAAGGTACTTGTAACTGTCCTCAATATCTGCTGTTGTTCCCTCTAGAATCAGTAGTTAGTTTGCTCAGTTGGTGAGTCACTGGATCCACATGGTAGATCTGGGTTCAAATCCCCCTTCAGACTCTGATTGTTTTTTCTGCAACATATAATTAAAGAATACAAACATTACATGGAACATACAAAGAAAATGTAGTTTATCATGCACATTACCTGTAAATGTCATGCAAAATGTTCACTTTATCTTTACTAGTGTTTTCATAATATAGTTGTATGAGAAAAATGCAAAAGGGGGACACTTTCAGGAGTAAACCACACATGACACATATTAACCTTATATAAAGATTTACTACAAAAACACTGGTAAATTCTTCTCTTTTTTTTTTTTTTTCAGTTTTTTTCCATATAGGTGGGGTTACAGTCTTCCACTCAGTTTAATAACATGACACAGCCCTGTTCAGACCGCGACTGTGCATTAGAGGCCATTTGTAGAGAGGCGATTGGCTACTTTCAACTGGTAGTAAAAAATGTGAATTGGAGACTAATAAAGGTGCAGTTACATAGATTGAGTTTGTTAGTAGTGCTTCTCAAAGGAGTATAATGAAAGCTATGGGCCACTCAGGGGAAAGTGTAGCTCAGTAGCATTATATCATGCTTGTTTCACTGTTAGATAAACAATTATTTAAATTGGACTAATTTTCTGGTTTTATGTTACTACTGTTAGTAGTTCATGGGATGTAACACTGACATTTGACAGCTGTTTGGATGTTAAAGCCGGTTTTCTAATTGATGGACAGATTACATTTCACACATTGCTTCTTGAACATTTTAGTGTTAGAATGTGTCCAACAAGGATCAAAAACCTGATGAGATTGCATGCCATTTTAGAGCACAGATAATAGGGCTGGAAGGGACTCTGTATCTGCACTAGTGGAGAAAATCAGTTTTGAATGTACAGTGTGTGCAAATGATTCAAAGTTGAAATGTAATTCCTCATTTATTCTGGTCATTACAGTTTGAATTGGCTCTTCACAGTACTTGAAAAAATATGATAATTAAACTAATAGAAAATCGTTCATTGCATTATTTTACAAGATAAAACAAAACCCTGTGAAAGGACAAATGCTGTTCATGTGGTTATGTACGCTGACCCTCACTCCTGACCTCACATTAGGAGCTGTGTTAAGGTCAAAATTGGCCTGATGTCTTTTTTTGAGTGGTGACTTGCCTGAGGCCTGCTGAGACTCTGCCTGATGCCTCTGGAGAGTAGCATCCAAGATAGTATGGGTATTATTAATAGCTATTATACCTTTCAGCATCTAAATCTCTAATCAAAACAAGCAAGTTTCTAGCTTGTGAATATTATAACAAAGGCAATACAACTTTTTCAGATTCTGATTTGATACCTTCTCTTTGGCAAATAAAGTTTTACAGTCTTATCATCTTGCTGTTGCAGTCATAATTATGAGATTAGCAGCAAACTCAATGCATGAGGACATTTGTAAAACAACTCTACTATTAATAACAAGCCTCTATTAAATTTATGCTTGCTTTTTGCAGTTTATTTATTTTAATTATGATTGTTATTTTACATTACAAAGTGGCACTTGATGTTTGTAGAAAATAATGCAGGCTTCATGCCATTTCTATTGTTGACTTTTTGCTCACAGAGCCTATCATCTGGAATGTGTATGACGGTAAAATTAGCTGACAACCAATAAATCTTTGGAGCAGGAGCCATCGTGGATCTGGTGATGTGACCTAAAAAGCCAAGTTGGAGAATGGAAGAGGGTTTGTGGGAGGAACTGACCTGCTTGAGTTATGGCTCCACTAGGTCATAAACCAACCACTACAAGGACCTCTGAAGCCAACAAGTGCAAGGCCAGTGAAATAAAAACATTCATTTGTGTTGGGCATTCAAATCAACATTCCTGAGGTGGAAACGTGTAAAAGGATTCCACAAACATTGTGCTGAATTTTGAATTGTATTCAAATAAAACAAATAGCATGGTAATTAAAAAACAAACAAACATAGTATTGATATTACCCCAGACTCTATCAAGGAACTAGAACTTAAAATGGTTAGATTGGCCAAGGGTGTCTTTATCAATAGCAATGAATTTTACAAACTACAGAAAATTTCAGTGTGACATCTGTTTTCATTGGTTTCAGCTTCTTTTTAAGAAGTTATATTTGATGACCTTTGCCTATGCAAAAGGTGGAATACTCGGTTTTGATTTTAATTGCTATGGCAATCTTCATCACACAAACTCTCCATTAATCAATGGTATAACTTGTCACAAAACATTTCATCGTTTATACGTACAGTATGTTCACAGTTAATCAAAACCATTCCACAAATGCACATTATTTTGAGAAGTCTGATTTATTTGGCCATTTAGGTGATCATCACAAGTTGCCTTCTGTGTTAATACTTGGTTTACAACAGCAAAACTGGCAATGCAAATGTGTATTGTTGTTATTATGGTAAGTGCTACCACAATCCCAACAATTTAGTGTCACTAAAGCTGCATTTCCACCAGCTTCACTTGACCAGGTCGTCGGGAAGGACGGTCTGCTGTGATTGGTCATTCGAGGTGATGAAGTTTAGGAACAGGATTATGAATGGTTAAATGGTTAATATTATGATACCAGGATTATGTTTCCTCACCTTAACATAATCCTACGTTAAGGTGAGGAAAATGGTTAACATTATGGTACCAGTTAAGAGAGGCTAGTGTAGAGGACTCCAACCTGGAGCTCGGAAGCTACCCCTAGTAGCTGACCCCCTTCAATGTAGCTCACCAAGAGATTTCTGAAATATATGCACTGTGCTGAATAACTAAAATTGTATCAATTGCCACTTGTAAAAGTATCATTTTGATGCATAACTTTGTGTACTAATAAATTGATCATTGTTTATGTTTTATAGGCATCTAACTGTATACACAGGTTCAAAGCACGTTACTCATAAGTTATGGGTAAGATAGACATTATCCCAACATATTTGAACTTATGAGTAACTTACAATTAACGTGTGTGAATGTGTGTCAGCGGTTGCATAACTTACCTACACCTTATGGCCCACGTATGCAGGATGTATAGTATACTCTGACATACATCCAGAAATTTTGAGCATGCTCAAAATTCTTCAACAACCTTGCCATATGTCGCCATATGCCAGCGTGCTTTAGCGTGCTCATAATGTACACAAAACTTAGCTATAATTTATCTGACGTATGCCAGCGTATTTGCCAAATTTTTCATATGTCGCATCCACTGGCTAAATCGTCAAGGTGTGACAGCCCCGTTAGGCTTGCTGTGGCTCTCATATGTACTAAATCTTGTGAACACTAAAATGAGTAACTCTCTGGCATTTTTGTTTGTTAAAAGTAGCTCACTGGACAAAAAAGGTTGGAGACATAGGCTAGTGGAAATGCTCAAAATAAGTGTAGGGTAGAGCAGAGCCAGGTTTTGCACTTTTGTACTCACAATTTAATAGTCAGAGTCAAGCTCCAGTTGTTCTTCGATTAAAGTGTCATGACCACACATTACGAGACATGGCCACACTTTATAAGGGAATGAACGGACATGGTTCAGTGCACTTCTCTGTGGGTTTAACAGATGTTTGTGGATGAACTCTATAATCTGAATGTTGAAACCTCTCTGGACTAAAGCAGCATGGGTCACATGGTCTCTGCTCCAGCCTCTGCATTGATCTTTGTACACTGCTCTAGCCACATCCTAAATGAGATGATTTTCGGGCTTGGCTTGAAACTTGTTGATTTGAGCCTCAAGCTGATGTAGGAGTTCTTCAGACAATATAGTTATTTCTGGAAATGGTTTCTTCTGAAAGATCCTTGTCACTACCTCATGAACCAAGGCAGTACAGTGCTCCTTTGTCCATGGACTGCCACACTCTTGTAAGGCATTAAGCAATTCCAGTTGCAGTGCTTCATCAATTTATACAATTTTCTCTTTCTTAACTCTTAACGGGAGGAATCTCTGGACGATGCTGATAGAACTCAGGGGAAATATGGACTCGTTGGTCATTTGGGTTTTCACTCATTTTTGTAGAGACGGCAGATTTTCCACAAAACACTGTAGACTGCATCTTTTTGGGGTGGCTGTTGGTTTTGAATCTGAAGCCACTCAAAAATGTCTCCACAGAGGAAGGAGTTAATTTCACAGTACTTTTTGTGCTCTTTCTCTACTGTACTCAGGTTAGAATCTGAGCTTTGTTTTAAGACAGTCAGCTGGAATTACAACAAGTAAGCTGATTTGTTACAAGTTCCTCTCAAAAAACATTACAGTGAGCATTAGTCAACAGTTTTTCTGTTAGTTATTTTACTTTTCAGACTTTTTGGCAGTATGCTAATGTGTCACCATGGTAACTGCTGAATGTTCCTTCTTAGCTATACATATATGGTACCTCGACCGGTTCGTTGTGGAGCTCTTTGTTGCTGTTATTCATGATGGCATGCGATTCCCTGTCTGTGTGCACTGGTGTATGAATGTGTGTGTGAAGTGTACTACATAAAAGTGCTAAATAAAAATGTGACCATTTACAATTTACATCTTAAATATCACTTTGTCTAAAGTTTATCTATGGATGCTTTGCCTACTTCAAATAACAATGGCAATTTTTTTTACAATAGTATTCGATTTATGTTATTCTATCCTGGTCTCCACTGAATTCTGCATTAGGCTATTATTACGAAACACAATTATATTTCCCCATGCAAAAGTTCACCATATACAGAATAGGACAATAATTTATTATTTCTCTCATTTTACAAAAAGGCAAAGAGTGGCTAACTAAACACTTGTTACATTGTTATTCTTTTGGATACATGAACCCCTAGGAACAATAAAGCATGCAGCGTCTGCCAGAACATCAGGAACACATGGCTGGTGTTGTTCAGTGTGGCAGATGAGCACCTTGAAAAAATAGAGCTAAAAATCATATTTGTACTAAACAATTTACAAAGGTGTCTTTAAAAGGTTTATACATTCTACCTGGCAGGGAATTGGAATTGTTTCCATAAAAGCATTAATAACAGTAAAATACTGACAAAAATATATATGGTACAAACAAACAAAACATTTCAATTATGTAAATGCTATTTTATGTTGGCACACGGTTTATACATCAAATCCTTTACAATCGTTCAACAAAATGTTCTTCCCAAACTATTCAAAAGAGCAAGCACAAAAATTGAAAATAGTATTGAAAGAATCCAACTCAAAGGGTCCAGTTATTATTTAAGAATGTTCTGTTCAATGACAAAGTAGACAATGTCCGCCAAAAAGATTTTTATGTACAAATATTGCCACATTGAACGAGGCAAGAATCTCTACCCCAAGCGGTAGTGTCCTATCTACAGTCCAGTCAATTGCTGCTTTGGGCAAGCTCTCAGACTGTAGTGACAGACAGGAGTGAGTTGTACACCCTGGTCCCATCTGGCGACTTGGTGCCATGGGTAAGCAGTTCTTGGATGGTCATCCAGTTGTCAAATATTTTCTTGTTTCTCTTTTTCATCATCTTTTTATGGCTGAGTTGGATGATGTTGGGCTCCTTATGGTCTTCAGCAGCAGACTGCTCCTTGAGACAGTCAGCACGACTCTGCTTCATAAACTCGCGTCTCTGCCTCTGCTCCTTGGCCCGGACTGCATGCTGCTTTCTCTCCTCTTTGCTCCAGTAGCGGCCCATCTTCAGCTCACTGATTGCATCATCATCTGTGGTCATGCCACTGCGTTCTTCATGGATTCTAAGAGCACGTTCTCTCAGCAGCTTATCTCGTACTGGGCGTTTGGTGATGTACCGCGTGCCGTCACTGCGAATTTTTACCTTCCACTCCATCTTTGGGTCAAGGTCGCTGGGGCTGATGGGGTCACGACACATACTGACGAGGCTCACTTGACTCTGGGCGTACTCTACAGCGGATTTCTGTTGGATGAGCTGCATGTAGCTCTGGTAGTGCTGTGCATGGGCTGGGATGTGAGCGTGCTTGTATGGTGAGTGTGGAAATCCACGAGTGGACTTTCTCTCTTTGGGTTCAGGTTGTACTGCTCCATCTTGTTCTTTTGCTCTGCTGCGACTTGGCCCTCCAGCCTCCAGGACGGGAGACAGCAACGGCTTCAGCCCACGGCCCGTAGCACTGACAGAAGGCCCTGCTGCCCCCTGGTTCTCTCTGCGTAGAGAGTTATCTGGGGATAACTCTAGTGTTAGCGGTGTGCTACGACAGCTCTCCCCTGTGTTATAAGCACTGGAACTGTCCTTATCGGATTTCTCAGGCAACTCGGTGATGTCCGATAGTTCGTGGCGACGGGCATCAATGCTGGTGTTGTAATTCCGGAAGCCACTGTTGTGGAGCATCCAGGATTCACGGCACTGCTCTCTCAGTTGTTGCATCTTGTGAGCCCGGACAATGTTCAGGCACTCCAGCTCTATGGTACGAAGCTCTTCATTTAGCATCTCCAACTCTTTATCCACACACTCGCCATCCTGCCCAGTAGCCCCTTGGCAGTACACCCCCTCTACTACCTGTCCCATCTGACACTTAAGCTCCAGTAGCTCCCTGAAGCGCTCACATTCATCAGCAGGGATACCCAGAAAGTCTGTGTCAGTGTAGTCAGCAGATATGAAGGATTCTCCACTGAAAGGCAGGTCATTACTTCCAAGCGTGTCCTGGCTGTAGGTTAGCTTACGACAACTGCCCAGTGTGTTTGAGGCCGTGGTGTGGTCGTCACACAGGTTTTCTTGCTCAGAACTTTCATCATTTCTTGTACTTTCATCTGTGCGACCAACTCCACTGTCTTTCTCATGATGGTTGGATAGCAAAGTGGCCGTGTCTGTGGTGCCGTCATCTTCTTCATGCTTTTTCTGTAAGCAAACAAAACAAAATGGAATTCAGAATGATAAACGTGATGTAATTTTGATGTGTTCGGTTGTGCAACATAATAGACAATCTCAAAGTTAATTTTTATCTCTTTTGTAGTCTGTTCTGACTTAGTACTCCTTATCACCTAAGGAGTACTAGGCTTCACTGCTCCCACAGAATGAGTGTGTATGTAGCTCTCCATATTAACTGATTCATTCTATTATTTATGCCTATGTCGATAAGTTTTTAAGCCTGAGCAATATAGAGACAAACACTTCCTGATCAAATAGATATTATCATAATACATGTCAACTAATTAGCTTATATCTATATTTTTTTCCCCCTAAGTCTAGGAAATGATATATGATCATATTAAAACTATGTTAGTAGATCTGGCTCCAAAGATTAGGTTCTTTGTGAATAGTAGACAGATTAGATTAGTTAGATAGATGGTGTGTGTACCTGCTGCAGCATGCTGGCTGTGAACTGCATGGCCTGGTGGTGCTGTTGCTCCAGCATGTCCATGTGAAGGTCATCCAGGAAGTCATTCCTGTCGTCATCCATCCAGCCTTCATCCAGCTGAGACACAGGGAGGAACAACTCATTAGACACACAGGCAACTTCAAACCTTTACTTGGGAATCACAGAATGTAAAGAGCAGGCTGTGAGATTATGTATTATGTATTATTATGTATTTTTTAAAATACAATACAAAAATACATATAAATTGTCATATGAACTGCCTGTCTGAACTGTGAAATATTTGTCATGTTATATAAAAAAGGTGATGTTGTTCTGTTTTCTTTTCTTCTTATTTGCCAGGGACGTCAGATATAAATATACTGGGAGTAATTCTGGAATATTTTGTTTTCATGTTCATCATTAGATTATACTGTATGTTAAGGTACACTTTACTGTTCCTGTGGGGAAATTTGTGCATTTGGCTTTGTCAGCTGGAGGATTTTATCTATGGTGCATATGTTTTGGGTTGCTCAGGGAAACCTGAATTCATATTCCCATTTGAGGTAGAGATGACATTCAGTAGGTTCTTCTGAGAAATTACCTGTATTTCTGGCCGGGCCACAAGCAGAGAAATGTTCCTGTTGCCCTCACTTGTCAGTAGTGCCACAGCATCTTCACGGTTTTGGATCTCAACTCCATTGATCTAAAGACAAATGGATTTGCGCGAATTACAATTGTGTCCAATATTCAACTTATTACTTATATGCTAGAATTCTGCAATAGAGAATACCAACCTGAATGATTTTATCTCCTTCTCTGATGCGACCATCTTTTGCAGCAATGCTATTTGGGTCAATCTAAGGTCAAAACAATTGAAGGTGAGATATCAGGTCATTATAATAGGTGAGCAGCCTTCTTAAGTATATTGCCTTCCATAATATCAGCAGTTATTACATTATCAAAGATCAGAGTATGATGAATGGGTCTTTATTGTTCTCAGCTGAAGTTGTTAAAGAGGGTGTATTTTACTTGTATGGGGTACCACATAACATAGATCACATGTTTTTTTTATATTGGTTTTCAATGCTTTATTTTCTGAAAGCAAATTATTCACATGTTTTATGAGTTTAAGTTTAATTTTTGATACTTTGAGTCTCCCTTGAGTATAGTAATCTAAAAAAAGGAAAGTCATCAGATCTCTACAACAAAGTAACAAAAACAATGTGCATACTTCACTTATGTAGATTCCAGCCTCGTCTTCATCATCAGTCCTGTAGCAAATGGTCAGCCCCAGCTTTTCTTGGATGTTAGCTCGATACAAATCCACTTCCTGAAGAGACACAGACAAAGAGCTGAAAGAACTTACTAAAATAGGTAGCCATATGCCATCCGTCACTGTAATGTTTAAACTGGATGCTGGTTGGCCATTGGCTTCCTATTTGAAATGAGGAACGATCACTGGCCCGTAAATAGACAGAACACCGTTTGTCATTTGTCAAAAGCTGTAATCTCCTTGATACAGATACTAGATACAGGGCCAGAGAGGTTCAGGGGAGGTTAAACTACCAAAATGGACCGACACTCAAAACTAATGAATGAAATACTTTAAGGGATCAGACAGAAAAGCAGCTTTGGGTATCACAAAAGGTGATTCATGTTCCAATACTGAACAGTCAGGTTCCTCAGAAAATGCCACCTTTTTAACCACTTAAGAACAACTGATGAAGTATTTCTCATTAGGAATGATTTCACACGAGCAGGAAAAGCAGATAGTAGTTAAGAAAGAGTATGTTTAGCTATCATCAACAAAAATGACATGGCAGAAACAGTACAAGGACCCCTAGGCTGAAATGACTAAGCAGGAAGCATTCTTTGTTGTAAATTTTACATACTTTTTACTTCATAATTTTGGACATAAATATCATCCTAACAAGAAAATAGTAGTAATTAAATAGATATACCTTATAGTTACTTGAGTCAGCGGTTACTCTCAGTGTGAGAAAATCTTTAGGGGGTACAGTACTTGACCCAAAAAAATGTTGTGGCCCCTTGTGTCGTGCAGAGGTGGTTGAACTACTCAATTTTGTTACTTAAGTAAAAGTAAAAATACAGTGGCAAAAAGTTACTCAAGTAAAAGTAAAGTATCAACTGAAAAAATCTACTTAATTAAATGTATTTAAGAACCTGTTTAAAGTATTTTGCAGAGATTTTTTAGAACAATTAAAGGATGAAATGTAGTAATTTTGATAAAGAATACAGGGTCACTTTTGGCCCTTCCTCTCCTCAAACTGCCCTGACACAGATCTGCAGATCCTCCCTGACCAGTCCTCCTGTTAAACTCCACTAAGACCTTTGACTGAGACACAAAGGCCACACAACTGCAACAGTCTGCTGCAGCAAAACTTGAGTAATGTTATGACTTTAATGGCAGCGCACGCAGACGTAGAGGCCTCTCGCTCTCCCAATTGTT